TCGGCACCTCCAGACCCCCCTCGTCACCGTCATGGGCACCCCTGGAACACCCCCTCACTGCCACGGCACCCTCAGACCTCCTCTCATCCATCGGCACTCCCTGACCCGCCCCCCCCGGCCACCACTGGCACCCCCGGACACCCCCGCACTGCTATCAACACCCCTGGACCCTTCCCCATCTCCATCGGCACCCCCAGACCCCCCTTGCTGCCATCGGCACCTCACCCCTCCCCCCCCACCCCCGGCTCCCCGCAGCCCCCGGCCCTGCTCTGCCCCACTGGTGGGGGGGGTCTGGGGGGGGATTGCATTGGCCCAGATCCCGGTGCCAGCCTGGTGTGGGGTCACTAGGGTGGAGTCCCGGCCATCCCCCTCCCAAAATCTGCTGAAATTCCTGCTTTTCCTGATGGCTTCTCCTGAATCCCCCACCAGGACACCTCAGCCTTCCCAGGCCTTTGTTTGTCAGAGATGCTAATGAGGGCTCCCCATTTAATCCGGACTGGGGGGGGAGTGGTGGTGCCCCCACTGCTGAGGGGTCTGCAGGGGGACAGGGATGGTCCCTTCCCCTCCTGGGGCTCCTGAGGAGCCACACATCCTCAGATTGCACCATGTAGGTCACAGAGCCGGGAATAACAGGGCAGACCCACAGCTCTGGGGGCACCCAGGGGTGCCTGGCATGGTGAGGATGCCCAGGGCTGGGCTGGGGTCTCACCCGACCCACGGGGGGTCCCTGTCACCATGTGGGAAGCTGGGGCAGTGGCAGTGTGTTCACTGTGTGGGATGTGTGTGCTGCATGCTGTGTCATGTCACCTGAGTGTCCCCTGTGTGCTCCTCACATGTCACTGTGCCCTCTGCGTGCCCAGCGTGTGCTCAGTGCCCACCCCCTGCTCCCCGGGTGGCCCTGGTGTGACCTTGGCGTGTTTGCCCCCTGTGCTTGTCACACGTGCTGTGCACACTCAGTGCACACTCAAGGGGAGGTTTCCAGCCGGGTGTGGCAACATCCTTGGGTCTCAGCTGCGAGCACTGAGGGGACACTGGGACAGGCTCCTCTTCCCTGGCCTTCCCGGTGCTCATCCTTGTGGAATTGCTGCCAGGGAATGTGCACAAAACCACACTCGTGTGTGCAAGGCCAGAGTATCGACCCAGAGATGTTTGCACGAACACACACACACACACACACACACACACATAAAAACACACACAGACACAAACACAGACACACACACACAGACACACACACACAATGGTGATCATGTGTTGTTTTTTGCCTGCACATGTGTTCATCCCAGTGTACCACCCACGTTTCCCCCACAGGACCAGGGCTCTCCCTCACCCCCTCACCTGCTGGGTGCAGGGTCCAGCCAAAATCCCCCCCTGGGCCCAGCCTGGCCCCCTGGTCTGGGGCCACAGCAGGTCCCTGCACTGGTGGCTCCTGCTGTGGGGACACATGGAAAGGGCCCTGCTGGCCCCAGGCAGCACTGGCAGCTCACAGGCAACAGCTCAGGACTTCCTAATGCTTTTTCAGGGAAACACGAATTTCGATGCATTTGACCCCCCGTAGCCCCCTCCCTCCTCCCGATCACTTCCAGCATCCCAGGAGTGCAAACATGGGGCTGGCAGCAGCAAATTCCCCATGTCCCACTTCTCCCCAGGATCCACTAATGGTGAGCCTCCTGCTGTGTCCCCAAGGTGTCCCCTGTCCCCCCACCTCTGTGTTCCACCAGGATCCACAGTCTGGCGGGGTCTCCAGGAGCTGCTGGAGCCCCACACTCCAAGAGCAGCTGAGGGAAAACAGGAAAGCGAGCGGGGCTGTGCCGGAAGGCGGCTATTGTTGGCCAGGGAGCAGAGAGAGCGTGAGGGGACAGACACATGGTGACCACCCTGTCACCCCTCTGTGCCCGGAGCCACTCGTGGCTGCCCATTCCCCCTGGATGTGCCCCAGTGTGAGCAGGCAGCTGCTTAGGGCTGTCCAGGGCTTCCCCTCCCACCCCACTGCTCTGCTTTGGAAAGGAAAATAAACAAACCTCCTTTTTCCGTGTGTTACTTCCCTGGCCCAAGGAGGGCCCAGCTTCCCGCCCCTGGAAACCGGAGGATTTGGAACCCTGGCTCTGTGTCAAATGAAAAAAACCTGCAAAAAACCTGGAATTTCCTGCTGGGCAAAACCCCGGAGGTTTGACACTCCTGGTGCTGGGGTGGGACAAGAGGGGTGGGAGGGACGGGGAGCACAAGGGACATAGGGGACACAGGGGACACAGGGACACACACCCAGCCCTCCCCACACCCAAAGCACACACAGGCTCATGGCTGAACTGGTTCCTGTGCTGGTGGATCCTTATTCTTTCTCCTCACCTTGAAGGCTCTGGGAGAGTTTTGGCAGCTCCTGCCAGGTCTCCAGTGCACCCCAAGTCCCTCCCTGCCAGCGTGGGGCTCTCCCAGGAACACAGCCCTGGTCTCTCACTCCCCATCTGCTGCAGGGAAGGGGCTGGGGTGAACCCTGCTTGGCTTTCCCAGCTCCTGCTTTACCCCCACATTTCAGAGCTGCTCCCTTGCCCCCGGGAACTCCCCAGCGGAGCTGCCCAGTGTGTCTCAGGGACAACTGGGGGACAGGCAGGGTGGTGAAGGGGGATGGTGGTGTCAGACCTCAGTTTCCCTGGCTGGAAGAGGTGCCATAAGGAGAGAGAGTAGCTGGAACCCAACATGGAAACTGCAGGGAAGGTACAAACAGACTTGGGGTGGTTTCACCCCCGAAAAGCCCTTCAAGGAGGTGCCAGTTCAATGGGGAGCATCCTCCCTCCCCCATCACCCAGTCCTGGCTCTGACACCCCACACCAGCCAAAACCCAGGGGACAAGGACATGAAGATGGTGGGATTGGGATGGGGCTTGGCCCAGGGATCTACCCAGAAAGATGGACTAAGTTCCTCCAGGAGGGAAATCCCTGCAGTCCCCGAAACAAGGGGCAGGGG